CCCCAAAACCCCAAAACCCCAAAACCCCAAAACCCCTAAAAACTTTGATACTGTTGAAACTTCTAGAAGGGGCTAACTACAGCTGAGTCTTAGTGTCTTTTAATACCTCTCTTCAGAAATCTTTCCATTTGTCATCCCCACCAAGCTTCTTCTTTATCCTGCTAATCTTTTGAGCAGATCCTTGTGGTAAAGTGGTCTTGTTAGTCAACTTATGAGTCCTTATCCTGATTTTTCCTGGGGAGTAAAGCTTTGTTGGCTGTAAAGGAGATCTCTGAAGTAAATTTTCCCTATGGATGACTTCAGATACCTACCTCACGTCCACATGAGACTTATTCTGCACTCTGGTGTTTTCCTGTCTGAGTTTATTTCTAAGGCCTTCTTCATTTGAGTATTCGTCAAATGTTTTGATCTTAGTTTCAGCTATTTTGTCAAAGGTCGTATCTCTCTCTTTCATTTTGTCAAGAATTTTATCATTATTGAGCTCCTCACTAGTGTAATTTTCAATAACTTTTTCTAATTTCTGCAACAAATTATCCTTTTCGTCATTGAGGAAGGAGTAGTTCAGGTCAACAGGTTGGTCAGTCTCCTTAGCAAGCTTCTCTATGTCATTTTGGAGCTTAGAAATTGCGATTTTGAGCAATCTATTTTCCTTATTTTGACTCCTTGATCTGCTTAACGAGGAATTCGTTCTCTCCAAGTATCATTCTTTGGTATTCCTTCAAGCGGAGGATCTCCTCATCTTTCTTGTCCTTTGCTTGCTCACAGTAGAAAAGTTGGTTATTTTAATGTATGGATATATTGCTCCAATTTTTCTAAAAAATTAGCCTCAAAACTTACCTATTTTCTCGTCTTTCATAGTGATTGATGTATTTCTATTCTTAAATTTATCAACGAGTTCTTGCATCTTAGCCTGTTTTTCTTTTACAAAGTGGTTATAGCCTTGGAGGAATACATGCTCGGTCTTAACAAGTGCACTGTTCATTGATTTATCAAGCATCTAGATGGTTAAAGAGATTGGAGTAAGAGAGGTAAGTACCTTAGTCACATTTTCAAGTTCATTATGAGCTTCAATAACTTCTTTCCACTTCCTACTTTCATGTGGATACTGAAGATCAGGTATTCTTACTTCCTTTTTCTCTGGCTCGATTGATTTATTACTAATATTTATAAAGCTCAATCGGTTATCTTCAGCTGGGCTAGAATCATATTTCTCTAAATCAAGTCGTCCTCTTTTCATGTTATCCAAATATGCTTTTATTTTTCAATTTTTATTTCTAAAACCGGGGTTTTGGGGTTTTGGGGTTTTGGGGTTTTGGGGTTTTGGGGTTTTGGGGTTTTGGGG